ATGTAAGATGTCAACATAGCCTTGGGGAAAATTAGAACTTTTTAAACATGACACAAAAATGTTAACCATAAAAGGAGAAAAATGGATAAATTAGGTTTTATTAAAATTATGAACTGTTAGTTCATTAACAGATACCAATAAGAGAATAAAAAGGCAGGTTACATAATGAGAGAAACTATTTGCTATACTTATATCCTGAAAATGAATAGTAAGGAACTACCAACAAGCAGATAATCCAATAGAAAAATGGGCAAAAGACTTTCTTACACCTTACACAAAAATAAACTCAAAGTGGATAAAGGACCTGAATGTGAGATAGGAAACCATCAAAACCCTAGAGGAGAAAGCAAGAAACAACCTCCTTGACCTCAACCGCAGCAATTTCTTACTCGACACATCTCCAAAGGCAAGGGAATCAAGAGCAAAAATGAACTATTGGGACATCATCAAGATAAAAAGCTTTTGCACGGCAAAGGAAACAATCAATAAAACTAATAGACAACTGACGGAATGGGAAAAGGTAGTTGCAAATGACATATCGGATGCAGGACTAGTATCCAAAATCTATAAGGAACTCACCAAGCTCCACACCCCCAAAAAACAAATAATCCAGTGAAGAAATGGGCAGAAGACATGAATAGACACTTCTCCAAAGAGGACATCCAGATGGCCAACAGACACATGAAATGATGCTCAACGCCACTCATCATCAGGGAAATACAAATCAAAACCACACTGAGCTACCACTTCATGCCGGTCAGAGTGGCTATAATGAACAAATCAGGAGACTCTAGATGCTGGCGAGGATGTGGAGAAACAGGCACCCTCTTACACTGTTGGTAGGAATGTAAACTGGTGCAGCCACTCTGGAAAACAGTGTGGAGGTTCCTCAAAAAATTACCAATAGAACTCCCCTATGACCCAGCAATAGCACAGCTGGGAATTTACCCAAGGGATACAAGAGTGCTGATGCATAGGGACACATGTGTCCCAATGTTCATAAGAGCATCCTCAACAATAGCCAAATCATGGAAAGAGCCTAAATGTCCATCAACTGACGAATGGTTTATCTATACAATGGAATACTACATGGCGATGAGAAAGAATGAAATCTGGCCATTTGTAGCAACATGGATGGAACTCGAGGGTGTTATGCTGAGCAAAATAAGTCAGGCAGAGAAGGATAGATACCATATGTTTTTATTCTTCTGTGGAACAGGAGAAACTTAACAGAGGACCATGGGGGAGGGGAAGGGGAAAAAATAGTTAAGGAGAGGGAGGGAGGCAAACCATAAGAGACTCTTAAATACTGAGAACAAACTGAGGGTTGATGGGCATGGAGGAGGGCACTTGTTGGGATGAGCACTGGGTGTTATATGGAACCCAATTTGACAATAAACTATAAAAGAAAAATAAATAAATAAATACATTTTTAAAAATTAAAAAAAGAAAAATGGGCAAAAGATTTGGACAGGTGTTCACAAAAGAAAACAATCGTTCAATAGACATAAGAGAAGACATTATGCAAATTGCAGTGTGATGAAATACATCTCACCTGCATTTTTAAAAAGATAAGAAATATTAAGTGCTGGAGAGGCTGTGGAGAAGTTGGAATTCTCTTGGGAATGTAAACTGGTACAACCACTATGGAAAACTGTTTGGCAGAGTCTACTAAAAACTGAACATACACATACTCTGTAACTCAGCAATGCTACTCAAAGGCATAAACCCAACAAAAATGCATACATATGTGCACTAAAAGCATGGTCAAGAATATTCACAACAACACTATTTATAATGTCAAATGTTGGAAACAACCCAAATGCCCATCGATAGTACAGTGGATTAATACATTGTAGTATATTTATAAAACCTAATGCTAGCTGAGAACAAACTCTTTACAGCTACCTGGAGCAACATGAGTGAATCTCGTAAACTTACTATTGAGTGAAAGAAGTCCAGCATATAAAAAAGTGCATACCAGATGCTTACATTTATGTAAAGGTCCAAAACAGGCAAAACATAATTTAGTGTGAGAAGTAGGCATAATGGTCGCCTTTGGGGGAGCAGTAATCACTAGAACAGGGCCCAAGGGGGGCTTCTAAGGGAATTGGTAAAATACTGTTTTTTGCTTCAGATGCTGGTCAAGCTGTACACTTGATTCATGTGTGAATTTCCCTGTATACTTGCTATACTGCAAGTATATATATATATAAAACTTTACTAAGAAAAGACAAGGGCCAATGAGTTTGGCTGAGGTGACCTCAGGAATAGATAGAAACAAAATGTATATAGACACACATTCAAAACAGAACACAAAGATATTCACATAATGTCAGTAAACGTTATCACTGGATAATTGGATCAAGAGTAACTTTTTCCCTCTCTTTTCCAGCCCTTTTCAAATCCTCTTCAAGGAGTCTGTATTAATTTTGCCACTGAGGGAGAAGCAGAACCCTGGAAGATGTTGTTTTATCCATAAGGCATTGGATCAAACTGTTAATAGTCATCTCTTCCTCTTTGTTGCAAGAAATTAATCCTCTCTTCCTTCCTAAATGCAAGAAGTGTGGATTTCATTCAAGACCTCTACATGCCTTCCAGGACTATTAGGTAAGATAGTTTACAGTTAACTATATTTGCAAATATAGATATAACTATAAATATATTTGGAAATTTGAGGGTTATAAGAAATAAATAATATTAACCTTCAAGGAAGCAGTGTAGAAAAATCAGGAAAGGATTCCTGATGACATTTGTTTTGGGTGTAAAGGAAGGAGCAGGAATTTGTGAAATACAGTGGGAGAAGGATGAAGGACAGGAGGTCATTGTACACCAAGGAGAAAGTACCTGCAAGGCATGGAAACGAATGCAGTGTTTGCAGACCAGGAACGAGTTTGGCATCATTGGGGAAGAATGGAGGGCTAGGAAGCAGGAAAGGAATTGGAGCCCCAACCATTGTGACTTTGAATCTATGCCATATATTGTGTTTATAGATACAGTTGTAACAAATGCACAGCCTGGAGTGCCTGGGTGGCTCAGTCAGTTGAGCATCTCACTCCTGATTTTGGCTCAGGTTATGATCCCAGGGTCATGGTATTGAGCCCTATGTCAGGTCTGCACTGAGTATTGAGCCTGCTTAAGATTCTCTCCCTCTCCCCCTCCCCTCCCCCTCCCCCTCCCCCCTCCTCCTCCTCCTCCTCTTCTTCTTCTTCTTCTTCTTCTTCTTCTTCTTCTTCTTCTTCTTCTTCTCCTCTCTCTCTCTCCCTCTCTCTCTCTCTCTCAAATAACAAAAAATAAAAAACAAAACCCAAAACAGATGCCAAGCATGGTTCATTGCATCAGACCATGAAAATGCACTATACAAGTCCTAAATTTTTAAATTGTTTTTTTAAAAACATGTTTTATAGCAATCGCTTAATATCGAAAATAATGGTTCCTGCATTAGCATTTATATTGGAAGCCCTGAAGTAGTCAGCTGGAATGAAACCAGTCTTTATAGAATATTCTTGAACTTTAAATTATTTAAGTTGATGAAAATCCAAGCATTACTATAACAGGTGTTATGCCAAGTACAGAGGATTCTCAAAACCCCTTCCCCAAGAAGTATAGAACAACTTGGTACCAACATCAGCATCTTCACATGAAATGAATTTTCAAGGGGATGATGTTACATCTGGGTATATCGATATTGTAGAATGCCTATTATTATTATGAATCGCTGCAGACACAATGTCTGTGGCCTGTCACAGGACACTTCTCCAGTTTGCCAAAGAACCACTTTAAAAGGCATAAATGCACTCTTCATGCTAATGGAACAGACCTCTTTAGTAATTTCCAAAGAGGAGAGAGAGGGTGGTTCTTCGGCCATTTCCCATGGTTCCACAGCAACATAACCAAAGGAGTAAAGGCAGCTTGCTCTCTGGGTAACACCAAGCTAGGAGGGAAGATTGAGACCACCCTCCACTCTTCCTTCTCACTTTTCAACTACACCAGAAAAGCAGAGGCAATGAGGTCTGCACTCAAATGCACCAGCTTGTGATCGACTCCAGGGATGAATTAAGCGGTATCGGCGGTGGCTGTGTCCACCTGGTTACCGCACTCCCCTAACTGACCACTGGCAACTGCAATACTAAGGTGACCCGAGACGCCATGGGGCAACAGGCAGTCTCTGCTTTCAGATTTCATTCCTGGCAAGGAAGTCACTGAATCAATCACCTGGGGCACATTCCCGGCTGCACAACAGCTATAAACTGGGTGGTACAACACTTTGCTGCTTCCACTGGTTCTGATGTGAGCAGAAACATCTGAGTAATCAGACAATAGGCATTGGAGAAAGAAAATGGAAGGAAATTAATCTTGCACATCTGCCCCATGCCAGGCATAAACTAGGAGTCTCCATAAACATGGAGGCAGCATGGGGTTCATTATGATTCTGTGTTAACACTTGCTGGCTGTGTGAACTTGGACAAGATCCTTAACCTCTGTGAACTCGTTTTCTCATATCTACCTCCCAAGGCTGTGTGGGAAGGAAAAGAGACTCCGTGTTCACATGGTACATAGTATGTGCTCTGAAAAAGTAGGTATTTTTGGTTGTTGTTTACTATCATCATCATTTAATTCTCAAACCAGCATCATTACCCATTTTACAGATGTGGACACTAAGACTCAGAGGGATAAAAGGAATATAACCTGGGAATATAACCTTGCTACTGCGATGCCAACCCAGTCTCACACCACAACTCATACTCCTTACCCCTCTAGATCACTCTGTCTTTATTAGTCAGCTTTGAATAAATGCATTACAGAAATGAGAAGCAGCAAAAAATGGGCTTATTTGCAAATATCCATGAGCCAAAAGACGGTGTGGTGTATTAGGGTTCTCTAGAGAAAAAGAACCAAGAGGGGGTGTGTGTGTGTGTGTGTGTGTGTGTGTGTGAGAGAGACAGACAGACAGACAGACAGAGATCTATTGAGAGAGTTTAAGAAATTGGCTCACATACTTATGGAGGTTGACAAGTCTGAAATCTGCAAGGAAGGCCAGTAGGCTGGTAGGCTAGAGACTGGGGTAGACCTGCTGTTACAGCTGTGAATCTGAAGGCGCCCTGGAGGTCGAATTCATTCTTTCTCAGGCCACCTTGGTCTTTTTCTCTTAAGGTCTTCAACTGATTGGATGAGGCCCACCTGCATCACGGAGGGTTCTCTGCTTTAGTTGAAGTTGATTGATTTTAATATTAATCTCACCTAAAAAAAAAAAAAATACCTGCATGTTGACATCCAGACTGGTCTTTAACCAAATATTTGAGTATTGTGACCTAGCCATGTTGGCACATAAAATTAACTAGCATTGGTGGTGAGCAAGGATCTGTGGTGAATATGAACCCAGAACCAAAATGTTTGAACTGAAGTACTATTCTTAACTGACCTGAGCTATCAAACTGCTTAGGTTTTGACAATGTTTTGTTTATGATTTCTTAAAACCCACATACTCTTTTTTTTTTTTATGTTTTATTTATTTCTGAGAGAGAAGGAGAGACAGCATGAGCAGGGGAGGGTCATAGAGAGAGGGAGACACAGAATCCGAAACAGGCTCCAGGCTCTGAGCTAGCTGTCAGCACAGAGCCCGATGCGAGGCTTGAACCCATGAACTGTGAGATCATGACCTGAGCCAAAGTCGGATGCTTAACCAACTGAGCCACCCAGGGGCCCCAAAACCCACATACTCTTTAGGCAAGTTGACTAGTCATATGAACTAAGATTATTAAAACAAAACAAAACCATAGTGAAAAATGTAGTCTGTGGTTTCTTCACAGCAAAGATAAAAACAGCTTCAGGAAGTGAGATCCTTTTGCCTGAGTGACTATTTTACCTAATCCAAGTTCAAGGGTAAGCTATTAAAAATAAAGAAAAGCTTTGCAGGTTTCCCTTCTGTTTCCTGTCACCAACTGTGGAACTTATAGCAAGAACAGAGTTACTTAAAACAGTTGTTGGGACATTTTTTGGAAGGTGGAAATTAATTTATCTCCTAAACAAAATTGGAAAGCACTTTTATTATTATTATAATATCAAAAATATCAATCTCCCCAAGTGGCATCAGCAATAGAATAAATTTGCTGTCTTTTACCTGTGAAAATAGTCCTCCAGATCCTCAATTAGGAAGTCATGCCTCCTTGCCCAGGTTCATTTCATAGTTTTAAGGTTCTGGAAGACAGAGAGGTTTGTTTAGATCCCTGGCCCTCACCCACCAGGCCTGGTATTTGGGAGAAGGCTGTGCTGGGTTGAGGAAGTGATGTTTAGTAAAGGAATCCAGCAGAGATATCTGCCTGTGACAGAGCCTGCTGGTTGGTCCCTTTTCTCCTTAGTAAGAGAACCCCAATTTTATTTGGGGTGGCAAAGTGCTCAGCTAAGGAACAACACTTTCTAGTCAAAAGATAAGCCCTCCTTTTTCTATTTCCTCTTGCTCCTGGAATGTAGATATAATGGTTGGCATCCTAGCAGCCATGTTGAATTAGGAGGTAATTTTGAGGTGAGCAGTCACACACAATGGAACTTCTTCATAAAGTTTCTTCATAAAGTCACAACACCTGCTGTAGATTTCCTACCTCCCAGGTCTTCTTTGTCAGAGAAGAAACCTTTGTGTTTTTAAACCACAGTAGGCAGATCTGTTTCTTGCAGCATAATTTTATCTTTTTAAAAAAACTTTTTTCTTAATGTTTGTTTTTGAGAGGGAGAGACAGAGTGCAAGTGGGGGAGGGGCAGAGAGAGAGGGAGGCACAGAATTTGAAGCAGGCTCCAGGCTCTGAGCTGTCAGCACAGAGCCCAATGCAGGGCTCGAGCTCACAGACCACAAGATCATGACCTGAGCTGAAGCTGGGTGCTTAACCGAAAGAGCCACCCTAGGCACCCTGCAATTTTGTCTTTTTTAAATCAGTAGCCCAGGAAGTGATCAAACACTAAGCTTCCTTAACATGCTTCACTGAGGGTTAGAGACCACAGAATCAACATAATTGTTTTAAAGATTTTATTTTTAAGTAATCTCTATGCCCAACCTGGGGCTTAAATTTACAACCCTGAGATCAAGAGTCAACATGCTCTAGTTTCAGAGCCAGCCAGGTGCCCAGGAGCCAGCCACGTCCCCCAGAATCAATGTAAGTTTAAATCCATTGGGATTTGATATGTAGGATAATTCAACCCAAAGAAAGAAAGATGTTGGTTTTTATTACCTTTGGCCATAAAAATAAGAAGTATTAGAACTGGGAAAGTACTTTAGAAAGCTTAATCTCACTTTGTACCCCACTATTTATTTCACAGATGAGGAAATAGAGGCCCAAAGTTTAATACAGCAGAGATACCAAATAACCGGGCCAGAACCTGAACACAGATCTTCTAACACCAGTCCATCACCCCATGGTTATCTTCTACCCTTGATCACAAATGGAGGCATAATCTGACATCGTCTAGATGTCTTACATAATAGTGAAAGAAACTAGAAGCCATCGCATACAGTACAGTAGTGCTCACCTGGATACCATCTTGCCTACTTTGTAACATAGCTTTGCCCAATTTACTGATAAAATAATCTGATCTCACACCACAGTGATCATTCCACATTAGAGCAACACAGAACAGTCCTCACCCAGTGTCTAAAGCCTTTTGATGCCCCACTTTTGGCTTTTAGCTCCAGTTCTTGTTAGCTGGAGACAAGAAAGGGGCCCATTTGGCAACCATTCATCCTTGTCAGATTTGAAGCCATTCTGCGAAGGCATTTTAATTAGGCAGTGGGAGAGCTGCCACATTTAGAAGCAGCTCCTAGATGGGAAGCAGAAAATTTCAAGACCAACTGAAGTTCTTGGTGCTTGTGTTGTTTACCATTTAAAAGAAAGCCCCAGTGATTCTTTTCCACCCCTCCTTTCCCACTCAAGTCTTTGTAAGATTCAGAACGGTTCAGCGATTTCTTGAGGCTCATTCCTTAACAGTTCTTGTGCATGGTTTTCAGACAGAACACGGATCCTTTGATCATGCTTTAATGAACTCAAGCTATGTAGCATATAAATGGCGATTGTTTTGATTATTATCTTCAGTTCTTCCAAAAGTGCTCAGAGACCATGCATTTTAATGGAGGCCTTTACAATTCATGAATTTTTAAATGGTTTTTGTTCACGGAAAGCAATAAACCAATATCAACACTGTTGTAAATTAGCTATCTGCTCACTTACGGAAAGCTGAACTGTAGCTCAGTTGTTGAGTTATTATCTCTATTTCACAGTGAGGAAGCTGCAATAGAGAAAGATTAAGTCACCCAGCTTGTGAAAGGCAGAGTAAGAACTCAAAGCCAGAACCCAGATCATATTGTAGCAATTGTTCAAATGAGAGAGAACAATTTTCATCTGATTGATGTCAAACATTTTGGCAATATTTATAGTAGCTTGTGAGGAAGCATCTGTTGAAAAGAAGTTGCCTGACTTAGATAAGGAGAAGTGGAAGATGGTTGGTGATAGAACAAAGAACAGTGGACTAGAGACTGGGACTTGGTTTCTGCCCTGAGCTCTGCACCTGACAACAGCTGTGACCTTGAACAATTCACCCCAAGTCCCTGGGCTTCTAGTTCCTCAGCCACAAAATGAAGTCTTAAGCATCAACGGCCTCTTATCAAAAGAAATATTTTGCAAATCCAATATACAAAACAGATAAGAGCAGAGTGCTCTGGTGGGGGAGGGGCCAAGGTGTCTCATGCTCAAAGCTCTTGGTCATGCTCTTTCCCGGGGGGTCAATAGCTCCCAAGGGCCCTTTTCTAAGCCTAGGAAATTGATCTGCAAAGCTATAAATTCCCTTCCAATATTATACTTTAGTGTTTATTTCCTCTCTACCAGATTTTTCTGAAGCCAGAGGAAAACAGAGGTATACGAAAAATTCAGGCAACACTTTTATTTGCCCATCACTTAAATCTTTGTTTCAAAAGACAAGAAGCAAAGCCAAATCTGGTTGCATGTCAGAAGGGGAAATACTTCTTCAATGCCGATCTGGGGGCCTTTCCCAAGGGTAAAGAGTGTTGACAGCTGACAGCTAAGGTCTATTTTCACTTCAGTGGTTTATGGCGAGTGATAACTTTGTGATCAGGCCATGGGGGGAAGAACCATAATCCACAGAACCTGTTCGTGCGTGAGATGGGGATGCGGAGGGAGAGACGATCCCGAGTACAACCTGATTCTCCCTCATTATAAACTACGAACCTAAAAATAAGGCCATGCTGCAGTGATGCCCAGGCTAAGAGAATTACCACCTTCCTCACACTGAAGGCTTCTCAGACACCACATGGAGCATGAGTCCACTTTGCAACAGCCCCTGGAGTTTTTGTTTCACTTTCTGTCTCTCACCCAGGGACAGAGTCATGGCTAAATGTCCTTTCTTTCAGTCACCAGATATGTTCCCTCACTAAACCATGTACACATATTTTTTGCCCGGTGAGGCCACATCTATTGTCTCTCGTCAGACAGTAGCACTATTACTGTTTTTCTTTCTGTTTCTGTCAGCTTTTAGTCCATGGAGGCCTCATGGAAGGTGAAAGGGTTACCTGACTACCTTGAGATGCCTACTCTGACAGAGCATGGCCAGGCTTCCTTCACCACACACACCATTCATATCACTTCTGTCCAACTGCAGCTGTGTGTATTGCACCTAGTTCCGCAAATAATTGGAAAACTAATGTCGTGAAAGAAAAGTAGCGATTTGTGTCGCTGAGTGGGATTTTTTTTCCCGGACCTGCCTGACTTGCAACTCATTCAGCACAAAAGGCTAAAATAAAATATAAACCACGGCCATTTAATCATGGCAGATGACTTATCTACATTTTTTAGATGTTTAGCTTTTTTAAAAAAATGTTCTTATTTCTTTCTGAGAGAGAGAGAGAGACACAGTGTGAGCAGGGGAGGATCAGAGAGAGAGGGAGGTCCAGAATCTGAAATAGGTTCCAGGATCTGAGCTGTCAGCACAGAGCCCAGCACAAGGCTCGAACCCACGAACCGCGAGATCATGACTTGAGCCGAAGTCAGATGCTTAACCCACTGAGCCACCCAGGTGCCCCTTAGGTGTTTAGCTTTTTACAAATCTAGGCACTTGTGCTGTGTTGCAAAGATGGCCACAATTTTTCCCATCTCTATAGCCACATCCTTTTACAATGTGAATTCGAAGTTTCTTCCATCAAGGGGTAGATTCCATTTCACCATACCTTGAATCTGGGTTGGCCTTGTGACTTGATTTAGACAATGAGACTAACAAATATGAAGTTTGTTCAAGTCTTCATATTTGAAGGGACTTGCGGATTAGGCCTGGTTATCTTTTCCTGTGGTTAGAACTCTGAGCTCATCATGTAAAGGAGTCTAAGCTGGCCTGCTGAAAGATGAAGGGCACAAGGAAATTTGAAGTATCCTAGCCAACCAGGCCCCAGTCAGCAACATGCACATAGCCCGAGATGTCAGTAAGGCCATCTTAGACCAGCCAGCTTCCAGTTAAACTGCCAACTGACCACAGACGATATAAGTAGGCCTAGCAAAGGACAGCAAAAACAGGCAAGGGAAAACCAAAGCCCACAGGATTATGAGCTAGGTAATAATTCTGTGGGCTGCCTCCTCGCCCTGGTGCCCCACGCAAGTGTGAAGAGAGCTAACAAACTCTTGTTCAGAAGGAATCCAGGGCTCCTTGGATGACATAGTAAGGACAAAGCATTATTGTCAATGCAGTTAGAAAGCGCCTCAATGGCTTCTGCATTAATATGTAGCAGGAGGGAAGCGTGTTTAGGAAAGGGGATCTGCTGTTCTGCAGCCAGGGATAGAAACTTGAGAAAGCTGTGGGTGGGTTCAGGAAGCATGGGGAGTGGTATGAGTGTGTGAATTTCAAACATGTTCCTATTTTTAATGTTGGTGAGGCAATATCTTTATTTTAGTCTGTTCAAAGAGTACACCTTCTCAGGAAATGGTGAGGATATAAACATAGGTATAGCATTTGCATCCCAAATTGCAGACTTCCTAAAGATTTAACTTTTCCAGCAGCCGGTCTGCTAATACTTCATAGTGGATAGCCAGGCAAACTATGTGATATAATAGTTTTGCTGAGACTGAAATGTTTTACTTTTTTGAAAAGATTTCCCAAGTCAGAAAAGCTTCGAAAATAAACTGATATCTTTA